ATCTGTGAGTTAGCCGTGCCCTGACCTAGATCAGCCCAGAGGTTGTTTCAGGGTTCTATCTGTGAGTTAGTCGTCTCCTTACTTAAAGCAGCCCAGAGGTCGTTACAGGGTATCGATGAAAGTTTAAAGAAAGAATAAAACCAAAATTCCAAGCAGTACATGTACCTTGGCCTCCATGGCCTTCGACCTTTGTTCTAAGGTTTGCTTTTCATCCATCAGAACTTTGTTGGCTTGTGTGAGTTCATTGAGCTTCTCTACCTTCTCCATGACCTCTTCGTGTTTGGCCGATAGCTCAACGTCTAGTTGTGTCTGTGTTTTCTCTTCTTTCAGGTTTTTCTGTGCGTCCGCCAGCTGTTTCTCTAGGAATGAACACCTTTGTTGATATCGTAGACTTTCTGAATGTGCCAGCTCTCCTTTGGTCTCAGCAATTTCCTTCTCCCGTCTGGCAAACCTGGAAAAGAGGAGAATAGCAACTATAAAGCTATCAAAGCCTTACTGAAAGCAAAATTCACAGGCGATGAACCAAGCGTTTTAGAGATTATTTATTAAAAAGTTAATAAATTTATCAAAATCCAGGCCACAAGGGTGGTGTGGAGAAAGACGGTCGTTCTCTGGTTTTCCTGCCTCCCGCAAAACCCAATTAACTTAATTACAATCTGATCTGCGAGTTAGTCCTATCTCGTACCCAGAGCCCGCGTTTCTTCTGGCCTGCGGCGAAGTTAGTCGTGCCCTGATTTTGATCATCTCCCGAGTTGCCCATAAGCTGTTTTAGGGTATCGATAAAATTTGAAGCCAACGTCATTCCCTAATTAAGAAAGAAGTCCTATAGTCCTAAAGAAGACCCGTACGGTCTGGCTCGTGCGCTCTTATATAAAACCTCTGGAAAAAGTCACGTGATTGGGGCCGGATAGGTTGACATGGTCGAGCCGGAAAAACCGTTCTGGCCCTTCGTGTTTACTCGCTATATTTATGAATTTTAGCAGGAGTTTTTAAAACAAAAATTGGATCATATGATAATGCTTACTGACTGAGTTAGGACGGGCCGGACGGGAAAGTATTTGGCTCTGGGTCAATTGTATACATGACCTCTATCCAAATATTTTCCCGTCCAGTCCTCCCACTCAGTCAATAAATACATATCATTAACCCCTTAAAGAATAGGCTCGTTAGTTGTACCTCACTATTTCCCATAATTCCAATGTACCCTTAGCCTCTTCTTGACCAACATCTTCACTTGTTGATGACGGAGGTTGAGTAAATGATACCTTTGTAGTGGACGCCAACTGAGTCACGAGCTAACGAAAGCAACATTTTTTCATCATCAGTTTTACATTCCTTTTTTTTTTTTTTTTTTTTTGTATGCAACTTTTTTTGGAAAAAGGTTTCCATAAAAATAATAAATCGTTGTATTTTACATCGTGATAGTGAAGTCGTTGACTAGTCTCCCTAGCTAGAGTCTGGACGGTTTAAAAATATATATGCAAAGTTGATTCATATGAGGCCTTAAGCTACTGTGTGTTGTATACTGAGATAAAGGGCATACGACAGAGACTGAGTAAAGTTTGGCGGAGGCTGGCGTAGAGCTACAGGTTAAAACAAGTCTCTGAATTCGGTGCATTTCTCACGTGAGTTAATTGCTCCTACATATGAAAACTGAAACCAGACCCTTTATCTCGGTATACAACACACACCCCTTAGGCCTCATTTGAATACGAAACACTACACAATCATTATCACTACACTGAATGTTTTAAGCACACATTTGAACTCATTTGAACCAAGATTATTTTACCAGAAGCTAAAGTTTCAGTGTACGAAACACTCCACACTCAACTCACATGTTGATTTTCGAAATGTCCATGCTATAGAGATTCTTTTAAAATAGTAAGTTAAATAAGTTAAATGTTGAAATTTATTTTAAAAATGCTAAGGAAAAGATCAAGTGCACTCTTGTGTAGCATTCCCATAATACAGAATTTCCATAGTAAGTCTATAGTAATTTGTCTAGAAATGGGAAATTTGGAGATGGATAACTGTTTCGAATTGCATTAACATATACCTCTTTACCTTGGGCGTAATGTTTTCCCATTTCAGACCACRTGTCATTCCCTTGAGTATCATTTCTTTGTTTAACGTTTTCGCATGAGAAAACACATGAATATAGATACAACTCAAACAAATAATCTTATTCTCAAGAGTTGTCTGAAACGTTCAAGGTAAAGTGGTCTATACTACCACCCGACAAAGCGAAACAAAGTTACCATGGGAATACCGCATCACGCCCATGATAAAGAGGTCTTTTACCTTGTCTAGCTCATTATGCAAGGTAGAATTCTGGTCGACCAGGTCAGCGCATCTGGATTCCAGTTTCTTGTTCTCTGTAATGTACTGTTTCTTTTCCTGCACCCACGATTGACTAGCACCTTTCAGCTTTTCTTCGGCAGCATTAGCTCTGTCTAGGACTTCGTTGAATTTCGTGTCCTGTTCCTGAAGCTAAATATCAACAATTTTAAATCATCATAAAATACTCAACAACAAACATGTAATGTTGTAATGTTGATATAGAAAACGCGCGCGCGTGCTGTGTGCAGTTATACGTTCTAATTTTCTTTATTGTTCATATTATATTCAAGTTATCCATTTTGTTTTCTTCCCTTTTACTAACCTTTTCCTTGACGACTGCTAAAGCTTTTACATCATTTGCGTGAAGCATCAGTTCTCTTTCATACTTCTCTTGACACTGGAAACATTAAACCACACAAACATACATAGCCATGTCATAAACTAAATAATATTCAATACATTTTCACATTAGATGCATAACGCTGTTTTTGAAGATCACAGACTCATTGGCACAGGCTTAGCCTAGTTTATAAGACAGCTATTCACGGATACCATTAATTCCGTGGGACTTCAAAACATTGGTATTATTCACCTTGCGTATTCTTTACATTACAGTTGACATTTGCAAATAATTTGCTTTTAAACGAGGCTAAGCCTGCGTCTTAAGTCATAAACCACAATCTCATACCAAGAGCCTGCATTTCTTCTGGCCTGCGGCGAAGAACGAGGGCTCTGGCATAATCCATTTTTTGGCGCATGTGCTGTTTTCCGGAAGTAAAATATAATCAATAAAAATCATGCTTTCAAACAGAGTTCTGTGTTTACTTCCGATCAAAATAAAAATTAGATATCGGGTATGTGTTTTTATTTTTATTTTTGGCTAGTCTTTGAACGCATGCGCTGTTATGAAGTCCAAAAAATCCTTGTCTCAAAAAATAGATTATGCCAGAGCCCTCGTTCTTCGCAGCTGGCCAGAAGAAACTCAAGCTCTAGTTACGAGATTGCATAAAACACAGCTGCGGTATTTACCGAATGAGAAAAAGAAACTATTCATACCTCAGCTGCTATAGATGCCTGCTCCTTTAGTTCTTCTTTGGCCACCTGTTCACTTGCACACGCTGATCTTGCTTTCATACGAGCTTCTTCCAACTCGTGTCTTATGGTGCTCAGGATTTCTTGCAACTCTGATATTTGTCTCTCGGCATCTTTCTTCGCATGGGTGTTCTCGAGAATAAGGGCATTGTTTTTGCTTTCTAAGCTCTGGATTTGCCCTTGCATGTAGCTGTTTTCCTCTTCTGCTTTCTTGACTCGAGCTTCGAGACTAGTTTTTAGTTCTGCTGTGGTCTAGAAATATAGCAAAAATGCCAATCACTAAGGATGAGTGGATGGGTGGGTGGATGAGTGGATGGGTGGGTGGGTGGATGAGTGGATGGGTGGATGAGTGGATGGGTGGGTCGGTGGGTCCCCCCCCCGAAACAAGTATATTTAATTGCATAGAAAGAAAAAAGGTCAAGCATGATAGTAAGAAAATACAATGCGATATAGTGATATTTGTATAGTTGTTACCTGATCAAGATCTTTAAGGGCCTCTTCATGTGCTAACGACATTGACTTGTACTGATCTTCGTGGGTCTTAGACTTCTTTAGTTGGTCTTCAAGTCCTGAAACATGCATTTGGAACTCTTATTGACCAATATCTCCAAGTAATCTAGCAATTTCCTTGGACTATTCTTATTTCAAGGGCTCCGCCTCGTGCAACTCTCACGCTACCATCGTGCTCTCCCAACTATCCGCGTGCACCATCAATAGATTTACGCACGCTAAGCATTGACCATTGCTTAATCGTTAAAAACACCACACACTTTTTAAGACAAAATGAAATAAAGAACCAAGTGTAATTGTTACACACGGTACTTTTGATCCCGTTCGAACCAATAGTTGACACGTTTTTGCTGGAACTTATATTTACTGCTTCTTTCTTTGAGATCTATGCTCAGTACATGTGTGTAAGAATATAT